AGAACAGACGAATATATATGCCAGACAAGGGATAGAAAAAGAAGGGTGTGTAACAAAAAAAAAAAAAAAAGGTGGTTTCCTGTAAGTTCTGATGAAATGAAAGCTTATAGTATTGCATTATGCATCTTGATGTCGCACATGAAGAAGCCAAAAATGCATATGTATTGGTCAAAAAGATATGCAATAAGTACTCCAATTTTTGCCAGCACTATTTCACGCGATCAGCTTTTGATATATCAATCTTTCTACATTTTACGGATAATGAAAAGGAAAATAAAGATGACAGAATAAGAAAGATTAGAAATATAGTGGATTACCTAAATACTAAATTTTGTTACATTTACACTCCTGAAGTGAAGTAGCTATTCATGAATCGCAACCAAAAATTATATCCGTTCCACATGCAAATATTTTCTCAAATAAATCCGTACCCAAGGGGTTAAAGCATTTCAGACCAACTGAACTGTGCTCTAATCAAGTTAACATACTGTTAAATCATTTTAAATAATGCAGTGAAAAATCATACTAATATAATTCCTAGTGTAATTTATTATTTAATTAAAGAGACTGAGTTAATTTTATACAGGCGTCAGTTTGACTCAAACTTTTAGTTGGTGATAAATCTGCTAAAGTTCTGATAGTTATGTCAGATAAATGTGCTCACAAATTTAAATGATGCTTACAGGGTGTAGTATGGAATTAAAGTTGGTCTGAGATGGCTTTAAAACCTTATTGATGATATAATAGCATTTTAGAGTGCCATTATTTTGTATTTTGATGATCTTCTTATGAAGGCAGTGTCTTTGGAAGAACTCACTGATTGACTACGACAAATTCTGACGCATGGTAGAGAAACAGATTTGCATGCAAATAAAGAAAATTCAATTCAATATAACCGAACCCAAAATTCTGGGATAGAAAATGAACTCCAGATGGTATTCATCCATCTAACTTGAAATCATACAGTTTGTTCCAATTTCAAGGAATAAACAACAATTACAATCACTTTTAGGCTTTTTAGATTTTTATCATAGCTTTCTTTCTAGTAAAGCAATTACTGCAGAGCCTTTAGCTTGTTGAGGGAAATGTCTCCTGGAAATGGACCATGCAGCATAATAAAACATACGAAGCCATAAAAATCTCTTGGCTTTAGAAAGCATATTAATGCTTTTGATGTTTTGCGATGCTTCAGCATTTGAGTGCATTCTGTTCTAAGTCATAAACAATTAAATATGATTTAGACAAATGGAATGAAATGGCTGCATATTTTCAAAGTATGTCATAGCTCAAATCAATTCCACTGCATTCTGAAGGCTGTCAAGAGACAATTTTCTGGATACTATGAAACCTGGAAAAATTCTGTGAATTCAAAATATGTCCACTGCTGAAATTTTAATAACTCCTTTGCTTCACAGATCAAGGCTTTTCCCGCTTGCCCATGCGCCAGACGCAACTGACAAAATTGAAACCTTGCTGTTTAGAGGATAATACATAGGTGACTTGCTGAGCCATAATGATCATTAAAAAAATCTAATATTCTGAATTTTATCTGAACTCTCAAGTATTGTTGATGGGATGAATTCTAAAATGAGAAAATATGTCATGATTAAAGCATTTTGTAGTAAAATAAACTTTTAAGTTCTGCTCACGCAAGGTAAGTTATTAATTTTCTTGTACAATTATATTGTTAGGTTTTTTTGGTTGGTTTGGTTTAATTGGCGCTATCATCCATCTAACCGCTGATTTTTTAAAGAACAGAACTTTTCAATTTAAGATTCAAGATAGCTATTCCACCACAAGAAAAATTCACGCGGGTTTACCACAGGGGTCGGTAATTTCTTCGCTTCTCTATAATTTATATATTAATGATCTTCCTAATATTGAAAATATTCTCACTGCGTGCTATGCCGACGGTACAGCACTTCTATGTCACTCACTTAATCCATATCATGCAAGAAATAAACTACAGAATGCCATTGATTGCATTTCACTATGGTTTAAAGGATGGAAAATAAAAATTAATCCCGAAAAATCAAAGTGATTTCTTTATAAAAGGAACTATCCCTCAAGACTTAGAAGAAATTACGCTAAACGGACAAATCGTGTCTCGTGAGCACCAAGTAAAATATTTAGGTGTTTATCTCGACCAGAAGTTAACTTTCAAAATTCATGTTAATTATATCAGATACAAAGCACAATGTGCCTTAATGAGCATTTACCCTTTAATGTGCAAAAATTCGAAGTTAAATATCAACACTAAAAGAACACTCTGTCTACAGGCAATCTGACCCATAATTCTATATGCCGCCCCGGCGTGGGCACTAATGCACGTTCAAACAGAGCAAAGTTTTCAGAGTAAAACTCTCAGATTACTATCAAACCTCCGTGATTCGTTAGGAGCACTGTCATTCATAATTCTCTAAAGATTTTACCATTAGATGCTGAATTACTAAATATTACATTCAAATTCTATGAAAAATGTGATTCCTTCACTCACGAAGATATTAAAAACATAGGGGAGTACGACTATCTAATTGAACAGTCGCATAAACGGTCCAGAACTATATATCCAGTGCTTAAATTGCGCCAGAGCCCACCGGAGCCCGGCTCCGGTACTTCTCAATTTTTAAGATAAATTACAATTCTAGCCGGAGCGCACCGGAGCCTTAGATAAGATGAACTCCGGTACTTCTTTTTATAAAACTGAACTGCAATTTCAAGGGGAAAAAATTAGAATTCCTAACGTTTTAGTTTAACAATAAGCAGATCTTGCAATACTCTATTTCCCTAAAAATACGAAACATGAGACGTTCAAGTAAAGTCCCCTCACTCACATGCGAAATCCTTTCCATTTAAGAAGGCAATGAATTCGGGGGGGGGGGGTGTTTAGGAACGCGTAAATTTCTCGCCATGCCATCGTATCTAGTATATTGTTATCGATGGTTACAGTTAGTTATCCTCACAGGAAGGAAAATTTGTGTTCTTAAATGTGCGTTAATTGACAGCGAGTACAATAAGAGTGAAATACTGAGCTAAACCTGCTCAAACACGTCCTATACATTGTCCACTAATGTAACCAAATACGGAGGCGAAAAGCGTAACCAGCAACTTTACATCCATCCTTAGAAGTCAGATCCAGAACTCAATTTACCCCTGACACACTTTTGATTGATGGCTATAATTATATCAGCAGAGAGCCGCGGTCAAAGAGAACGTTCTCTCTCACGAAGATCCCCTCATTTTTTTGTTTCCAGCCACTCATACCCTCACGCTCTCATTCTGTTTCGCCTTGTTTTTAGCATTATCTGAATTTTCATCAGCTATACTTTAAGCATATTTAATTTTTGTGATGATAAAAGAACTTTTTTCCCCTACAATCAGAGCTTAAATTGGGCCGGAACCCACCGGATTCCGGTTCCGGTGCTTCTTAGTTTTTGTAATAAATCATAATTCTAGCCGGAGCGCACCGGAGCCCTGAATAAGAAGGCTGCGGCACTTCTTGTATGTAATTGAATAACAATTTCAGTGGAAATTTTTATCTCTAAAATAAAATTTTATTAAAAATTGCTTATCAAATATTAATTTATGTATTTACATTTTATTTAATTTTAATTATTTAATTACTTTAATCTTTAATTATTTAATCATTTCAACAAATAATATTTAATTAATTGTCTAATAGTTATCAATTAAATTATATTAACTAATTATATAATAATTATTGACATAATAGCAATTTATAAACATTAATTAGATAGCTATTAGTTAATTTATAATATTAATATTTAATTTAATATTATTAATGAGTTTAATAGTCATTTTATTTATTTATTTACTCTTGTTCCTCTTTGCTGATGGTCTTCCATTTTAATTTTAGAAATTAAGCCCTGTCTACATCTTAATGTTAGATGGTAATTCTTGTATATATTTTATTATTTTCAACTATTTAATCTAGATTTTGTTTCCTCTTTATCATCATTTTCATTTTATTATGGACTTTGTCCGGTACCAAGGCGGCACGGACTTTATCATAATTAAATTCGTATATCACGTGACAGTCTACTTCCCTGTGAGTATTAAGATATATGTACTTTCGCCTCAGACGAAAGCACAAAGATTTCTGGGACTTGTATATATTATTTTCTATTTTTACTATACTATACTGTGTCAAATTTACGATAATATGTAAAAGATATGCCATTGCGAAAAGATATGCCAAAGTTATGCCTGACGATATCTAATTACTATTATTGCTTATCCAACGAAGACTTCATCCGTGGCCGATAAATGGCGCCACGCCTGATCAACTTCTTTACTGCTGAAGACTTAGCACTTTTATTACAAGTGAACAGGTGTGGTTTGGTTTATTAGATTACGGCAAAGCACTCGAGGGCTATCTGCCTTAAGGGAGGGATGCCTTCGTGGAGGACTTTTTAAGGAAAACTGGCTCGTATACACGTTACACATGGGGAAAACCACGGAAACACCCATGCAGCCAGCCCGTTCACGGGATTCGAACCTCGGACCGAACTGCCAGTGTTCAGCGACGTTACCGCTCGGCCACTGGTGGGCGCAAGTGCACAGGATTTTCCCACTTTTATGGAATTTAACGAACTTTTATAGGTTCTTAGGGGAATGAAAAACATGTAGTGGTAAAGAACTAGCTTGTTATTCTGAAGCAAACAGCAAATAATTGGTAATTGATTGATAAATATAATAGAATATTAAACATTTTCAAAAGCGCCTTTGATAAGTTCAGAAGCGCATCATTTGAAAATCTGGGTTTTTTTTTTTTTTTTTGAATACTAAACAATTTGGCATTTTAGAACCATAAAAAATCGTTAAAATTTTTTTGCTAAATTAATCTCTTTAGTTCTAATCGCAATAAAATTACCGTATTAGGTGTAAGACTGAATATTTAAAAATAAATAAATACTTTTTTTTTTTTTTTCTTTAATCAAAGTTATTGCATTGTCATTCCGTGCCGTTTCTTGTTTAGTTTCAGATCGACAGAGTTTGGCCAAATTCTTTGGTTTGGCAACGACGTATTGTCAACAAATAAATTAGCATGTGATAGACGTTATAGGATAATTTTCTTGTCTAATATAATTTTTGTAGTGTAGTTTAAAAGTAATTATGTCCGAGAAACAGAGAACAAGTCCTATTAAGAATTTCTTGGCGGGTGGTGTTGGTGGCATTTGTTGTGTAGCCGCTGGGCATCCTTTAGATACAATTAAAGTAATTGACTGGCTACTTATTTGTTTTTAGTTAATGCAAAATTTGTAAATGCGATAATTATGCTTAATAGTTACCAGAATTACGCAGTACTTCTGTCCTGTAATATGTGTGATGCTTGTAATGTTTATAATTGTTACTTGCAGTGAATTAGAATTTGTTTTTATTCCTTTTTATTATTTTAAAGTGCTGTTAAGGAATGTACTTATTTACGCGACATCTGAAATGTAGATTTTATAGCCTATGGTTAAATATTCAATAAAAATCTTGTATGAAAATTTTTTGAATCCTTGTTAAGATATTTTAACTAACTGAATATCATGCAAGAACCATGCGAGATACCTAATTTAAACATTCTGTAATTGATTAGTACACGTACGAGAAATTTTTTTCCTCTGAGTGTCCAGAATATAACGGTGATTATAAAATATAAAATCATTTGAGTTTAATCCTAGTATCCGGTGCACACGGGATTTGGCTACTTTTGACGACTTTATGATGAGCAGTAAAAACGGGACATATATGATGAGTAGTAAACGGGTCATTCAAAGAATATATATAGTTATACATAGTATATACTTAGTATATAGTGTATAGTATATACATAGACGTTCTTTGGGGTCATTTTTGGTGTTGGCTATAATTTTCAAAATCGTGCCAAGGCTGCACCGTATACTAGGATTTTACCATCATTTGTATTAGCTCATTTTATTATTTCCATAATTCAAGTAATATATCGATTTAGATCAGTGTTTCTGAAAGTGAGCAGTAAAGTGCTCTCTGGATCATTTAATATTACCTAGAAAATCCCAGGAATTGAGAGTTTGACGCAGGGTTTTAATGCTATTGTTGTTTTTTTAATGGTGATGAAATTAGACAAAATAAATCTAACATCTTCAACACACTGTGTACAAAATAATATTGTATTTGATTCTTCTTTTCTCATGTATTTCCAACATGTTTTACAGAACGGGCTTTAATTTGACTGTGCAAACTTCTGATTGCGTAAAGGAAACACATGCAGATTTTTTAAATGGGATGTCATGTGACTTAATATTTGTACAAGTCTTCTTGTTGCTTTTGGGAGCATAAACTGTAGACCCTATTGAAGATGAAGTAACAAAGTCTCGTTATGTCTTGAGAGAAAACAGATGATTGCAGACAAAGGTTATAACAATCTTTGGCCAATCTTATTAAGTAGAACGTGCACTCACTCGGCACTAAAAAATTAACCGCCACTTGTGACTGTGTAATTTAAACACAAAATTGTATGTACAATCACACTGAATTTATTTTTAGCTATACGATTGACTGCTATTTAATCTAAATTGCTTAATTGGCTGCACACGCCAAAGCAAAGCCTATGATATCAATATGATCTAAGGTAAGTGGCTAGCATGAAGTATTCAGCTACAGAGCTACTTTCAAACATGTAGCATAAATTCAGAGCTAACTCTCCAACTCTTAGATTCTGCTACATAAATACTATTTCCGAACTTATTTATATATGCATATACGTCATTTGAATTTGCGTTCTGGCAGGAAACTGAAATCAGAAGGGAAAGTTCTTAAAATAATTGGTTAAACTAAAATAAGGTCTTTACAATATTTGATATGCTGTTAATTTTCCACTGAGCTCATTTGTCACATTAATTAAACTGAAGTGTTAATGTTATTTTTCTATTGCTTTATGTTTTATTACCGCATATATACATAATTACCAGAAATTTAAAAAAAAAATATATATATTTGCTGGCAATTTTTACAGAAATATAAAACATGTTAAATATTTTTTTTAATGTAATTAGACATACTTATGTTCTGAATAATAGCTTTAAATAATTTTAATAAAATAATATACAAATGGGCTTAGGCACATATATATGTTATGCATTCCTGCATATGTACAGAAAGGATAATGATGAAAAGTTGATTAAGAAAAAGGTAAGGGATTGAGTAAAGTTTGAGAAACATTAATTTAGGTAAATCTTGATATTGATTTTACATTGAGAAGCATTTTAATGCAGTCAAAATTTTATATATACAGTACAAAGTCCGAAATCTGGACATCAAAACCACCAATGTTTTTCTCGTAGGCTTTATGCATGCGCATTTGATTCCCCCTATGCGTGTAATAAAATATCTGGAGAGTCACAATTCTTAATTTTACTTTGACACTAAATAAAATACCTTGTTATTGAAGAAACAATCATTTTAGCATAAATTTGTACAATCAGTAATTTGGCTTCGTTGCTGCATATCTGCTTGGCACACATCTCGAACTGAAATATTCCACATAGATACATCGTTAATCTGATGCCAACTGATGAATCATTATTTATTATACTTTCTTTTAATCACCGCATATTTATCAACACATGACAGCTTGAGTAATGAGTGACATAGTGTTCCTTAAGAATTTATTTTATGTTAGTAATAGAAGAATAAAGGAGCATGGTAACATTTTATGTTGACATTACGCTTGGCGATGTTACAGATTTAGTTAAATGCATAAAAATGTTGCCGAGTAAATTTACCGAAAAATTTCTTCCATATGCTAAAAATAGATTTTGTTGATGATACTCATAGACCCAAAGGTAACATTTAGGACTATTTGAATTAAGAATAACTGATTTGTTATTCATATAAACGCAAAACAAGCACCAGGGTTCGTATGGCCATGCCGTGTTGAGAATTCAGGGCCCACAGAGACTGCATCGGGCGGTAAGATACCTAGCGCCAGCCTTCAATAAGGCTTAAGTATATGTGGGAATTTATTTATTCAGAACTCTGATAAGCCGTAAGCATGTGCAAGAAATAAGACATAAGTATAATAAATAATTAAAATAATACAATTCATGCTTAATTGTGCAATTCAGGCATTGTGCGATAGAAGGAAGATAAAATTTAACTGAACAATTTGTCGTTAGTCGCCAAGCTCATGATGTATAGCGAACGATAGCTAAATTTGATCGCAAATTAAAGGTTTTCGGATATCGCAAAACAAAGGTGAAATTTTCCATTAACGGATTTTTGTAAAGAAAGTGGAGAAGCGGACAAGGTTAAATAAATGAAGTGATATAAAAGAAGTTTTCATTGTGTGACAATGCTTCTCAATTATGAATCAATTAATGAATGGCGAAATCTGTAGTATGGTTCTAGATCAGAAAATACCACCCGATTAGAGTGAAGAAAGTGACGGAGAAGTTATTGAAAAGAAAAATTTTTTATGACAAGTTAGTCGAATTCTCAGAAGTTACAGGTCTTCAGCAATGTAAACTAAACAAGAGTATCTGTCTGCAATTAAGAGAAAATATTAGCACAACTAAAAGAAAGCAAGCAAACAAACAACTTACATTGAAAGAAATGTTTAATAAAGTAAAACAAATAAATATCTTTTTTTTTTGTAAATTTTGTACCGTGACAAAACTTATTTTTAAAATATTTTTAAACCAACCTAAAAATGATAACTCGTCTTGATGTCTTTAACTGGTTTAATACGCGTATAAGTCCCCCCACTTCGACATAAAATAAAAAACGCTATAAGTCGACCCCCACTTCCGAAATCGATCGAGAAACTTCGAAAAAAAATTTTTTTAAGTACTACATTTATTCAAAATCATCTGAGAAAAAAGTAAAATATACGATAAAAAAATACCTTGGTAAATAAACAAAATCAAAATCCTTCAACGTCCGATTCATGGTCAGATTCGCCAAACATTTCATAGAACTCTTCTGTCGTCATTGGCTCGTCATCATACATATTTTCAGTCTCGAACTCTGTATTGTTACAATCACTACTAGAGCCTTCGTCGTCATTTTCACTTTCAAAAACAGCATCATCTTCCGTGCCGTCTAGTTCGTTGCTAATACAACATTTTTTAAATGATTTTATAATCATTTCAGAGGGTATTTCGTTCCAAGCATCTTTAACCCACTGAGCAATTAATGTAATATCGGGCTTTTTAATGTTGCCTCCCTTTGTAAATGTTGGTCGACCGGAACTAATCCACTCTGGATAATTAAAAAATGATCGTATACAGTAACCTAGAATTTGTTCTGTAAAAGATTTGCTTACGGAAAATCTATCTGCATTTTCCCTTTTTAAAAGTTAAAAGAAATATTCAAAACTGTTCAGTTATTGCGTGGGCTATTTTTTTAAATTTTGACGTGTACGCCTGTTAACAAAAGTATTTCATGAATGAACAATAACTATTATAAAGACTTATACGTACGTAAAAACTATCTGCATTTCTCTTTTCTTGGCGTGTTGGCGAAACTTTTTTATTGCTCGATATTGATCGGTTGTTCGGGGGCCGAAAATTCTTTGGTTTAATCGAAACTTACTCTAGTTAAAGTATGAAACTCTGTGATTAGTTCGTCACATAATTTAAGTCATGAAATTACTTCAAGTAAGTGACTTATTTGATAAGTCGTCCAATTTGAGTGCGGGAAGAAAACAACTGCATTATATAAAGAAATTTTTGAACTTCCGATTCTTTTAATTTTTTATGGCCCCGCGTATAAGTCGACCCCCCCCCCACTTTGAAGTCTTTTTTTTTTTGTCCAAAATATCTCGACTTAAAGTTATACAGTAATATATAAAAAAGATACAGTACAAGTCTTAATCTGACTCAAGCTCAACTTATGGATGCGAAGTGATCTCAATACGCATGGAGATGTGTTTACTCAGTGCATAAGTTTCGCAGCACTTTAATATATAATGGATGTAAAGCAGGCTAAAATTATCTAGACATTTTAGTTAATTTGCAGATTGTGCTATTCCTTAATCTTCTAATTGGATCCGGCTTATTATTTTTTGCAGACTGTTAGAACTATTTTATAAAAATTAAGGTTGAACTTTCGATTATGTCAAAAAGAGTATCCGATTCTGTAGCTGCCAAAGGATCTACAAAGCGAAAGCAGGTTCGATGTCCATTAAACAAAAAGTGCAATTGCTGCAAAAAATGGATAAAGGCCTATCCGTTTTAAAATTATGCGAGAATTATGGCATTGGAAAGTTCACTATATGTGACACAATAAAAAGGAACTTTTTGAATTTTTGTAGAAGCATCTTAAAAAAACATTGAAGAATGTTTATAATGTAAACAAAATAAAAATAAATATTAAGCTTTTTTTTTTGAAAATTTTGATACCCTTTAGATCAATTGTTCATTTCATAAATTACGATTTCATATTTTTAATTGTATAATTTCTGAATGCCATCTTACCAGGTTTAAATTGATGATCTATGATCTGGAAAAACCCCTAATCCGGAATCATCAAAGTCCTGACGAGTCCGGATTGCGGACTTTGTATTGTATAATAGATAAGAATATATTATTACAAAACAGTTTTTTTAAAGCATAATATAATCATGCCTATAAGAAAATAAATCTATTTCCAAGATTAAATTGTTTAATTAAATTATGCGTATTACAAAAATTTCCCTGATACAGCTATACCATGAGAAATGATTTTATTGTAGATTATTTGTTTAGTACTTATGTATTATCCCATTCTTCATCAAAGTTGGTTGCCATCAAACCTGAAAAAGTGGTGAAGATCCTGCTAATGTTGCACCAATCATTTCCATGGAATTCTAAAGGAACTAACACCACTTTAATCAACAACCAGTATTCTACCTGCTGCATATTTGTGCTTCATAGAAAGCCTTTCATCATTTTCTAGTGTTCTGTTAGGTCTTCTGGTTTTACTTGAAACTATGTTTAGAAGGCTCTGTGAATAAAAAATTTGCAGGTAATTGTTCCAATATATCTGTTCTGTTGGCCATCTTCAGCTAACCATATTGTGTATATGTTACGGTAAAACACCGAAATCTAGAGAATGTCGACTTGCACCGGTGAATGTCAACATTCACCTAGTTGCTTGGTGTAAGTCCGAAATATTTTCCAAATAATCTTATTTCTGACTTACACCGGTAATTGTCGACATTCACCATCTATTAATGGTGAATGTTGAACATATAAGAATGTTATATTTTCTTCTTCGTAATTCAGTTGCGAAAAAACGCACTTGAGACTTAAAATAAGAACTTAAAACGAAAAACGCACTTGAGACTTAAATAAGAACTTAAAACACGCAGTACATCAAAAATTCAAAAAAAAGAAAAAAAATAGAAGTTAAAAATTAATTATACGGTGCATTCTAAATGAGAAAATAAAATAATAGTAATAAAAAACTTACTAAATTATGTGATTCAAATCTTATTTATTGCAACAACTTAAACTATTATGACCTCTCTTTTCGACCTGCACCAGAGCATATCTGTGATTGTCGACATACACCAGTGAGGGTCCGAATGTACAAGAATGTAATGCAATATTCGATCTTTCACCGACGTGTTTGGAGAATGTTGATATTCTCCGGTGAAAGTCGACATTCTCCAATTTCAGTGTTTCATGGTAACATATATATACACACTTTTTGATAGTAGGATCCCATATCTTTGGAAATAATTCCACTGCAAATATCAAACTTTAATATTTATTTCAAAATGCAAGAAAAAATATAGCCATAACATTGAATTATATCCTTATTCATAAAAACAAAACACATCGTATTGAGAACAAAAGTGGAGGTGTTAAGAGTGTGTTTTTATTTCATGCTTATCCATAGTTGGTGCTAAATGATTCTACTTGGTGATAGCTTCATAGTTCATGAAATAAAACATAATTACTTTTATTTTTTTGTAAATAAAATAAAGAATTCAGTTATTGATAGTAAAGTGGTATAAACAAAATTTCAGCTAAAAACTATACTTGAAATATTTGGTCATCTAGAGAGATCTGTGGTTTTTTAAATTGAAATATGGTTTGTCTTAATTGTTTTGTTACTGCTAATAAGAAATGATCTTTATTCAAGCGGGTGTTTAAATATGGTCTTTTGCATAATTCTAGCATGTGTTTTTTTGGTATAATTTTGTTTTAGTGCCAGGCTAAGTATAGAAAACTGGAAGTTTTATTTTTATTAAATTATGCTCCTTTATTTAAAAAAGTGATAATCAGACTGCTCATAAAATTTATGTGATATGTAGACAAAGTGCTGTGTCTGATGGCCTAGTTCAAAGGTGGTTCGAGAAAGTTAAGCATAAAAATTTCAGTCTGGAAGATGATGCTTGCTGTAGACAAAGGTCCTCTGTGGACAAGAACCTATTAAAAGAAGCTGTAGTTGAAAATCCATTTTAAAACAGTACAGGAATAATCAGACGGACTAGATATTGTAAAAAGTGCATTGCATGATCATTTGAAGGAGATTAGATGTGAAAGCTTGGGTATGCATTTGCAGTTTTGCAGCTGAGGATGGTGGTTCGGTAAAACCATCGAAACTAGTCCTGTGAAAATTTTGTAAATATAACGCTGATTTTTGTTGTTTGACTTCTGAATTAGATTTTATGTTATAGGATTCTCTTACAATAAAAAATAAGAAGAATAAAAACTGGAAATGTTAAAATCAACTAAATATTAAGAGAAGGTTTTATGTTTGATACTTAAAGAAGGAATTCCATTCCTTAATCCCAGTTATTTTCAAAGAGTAAAACTTCATCAAGATAAAGCAAGAAGTCATATTTCAAAAAGAACTTTTGCATTCCTTGAAAAAAAGTGAAGATTGAAATAGGTATTGCATATATTCGTTTTCGGTGTGCTCCTGAAGTTCCCTGATGTTTTATCTATGAACTATTGTGCCTTTTGATATTTGTAGAGATCTCTTTAAAGTGCAAACCCACCATGATTGACGCATTATGAAAAATAGCAGAAGAAGAATAGAAGTTAGTACCCTTGTAAATTTTGTAAAAGTCCATTTTATCATGAAACTCATGGTGCAGACTTACAGTTCAGAAAAAGCTATCAAATTGAACATTTAAAAAATTACTCTTACATTTTAAACACAAATTCTGAAATCATTCTAAAGATGTGTAATTGCCTATAATGCATGAAAAGCAATAACAATTTTGAAAATGATGGCACTTTCTAGTCAAAAATTCTATAAAACACAAATGAAACAGTATAATTAGAAATGCAAGAAACATCCATAATGAAACGTATCTTTTTTTAAGAAATCCTTACGTAATTTTTTTCTGTTGTTTTCCTCATTTATGCAGTGATCATTTTTTCGCTTAAAATCATTGGAGAATTGTGCACTCTTTTGTTTTTCCCATGTATTCAGCAACCTGTTATTGCTAAAAAAAATCAGAATTGCACAAATTTAACATTGCACACATAATTTCTGTCCATAAAATTCTATTGTTTGAGAAGTACAGTTAAATAAGATGCAAGTTTTGCATTGTGTACAGTTGAAGAAAATGCCATATTTCTGAAGAAATATAATGATTTCCTTTTCATCAGGTGGCAAACTGTACAGCCCCATTACTGTTACTTACGAGGGGGGGAATGCACTTAATGCAACAAAAACACTAATCAGGAAAATTATTATCAAATTTGGATAGCTGCTGCTTGGGTTGGCATGTGAATACATTTTGGTGACATCATGATCTTCCACATAACTATTTTTGGTGACATAGTGTGTTGCCTTATGAATACTTATTTTTCTTGGTGGGGGGAGGAAGAGGGTTGTGGATAATCTGAAAGAAACCTATTTGTTAGATGTTATGGTGCCAAATGCTTCTCTAATGATGTTTGGCATCTTAAGTATTGATTATGTTAATTTAAGCTTAGAAAAGCACATCTGACTTGATTTCATAACTTATTCTTTTTCTTTTTCTCAAAAGCTAAAAAATAGTAATATTGGTTTATAAAAAATAGTAATATGGTTGCCTTATGTATGAAAATGTTGTGGGAAATCTGCATACCTCTGGTGTGATTTAATCTTTTTTTTAGTTTCACTCTTTTCTTTTCTTAATGTGTGGAATAATCATTGTTTTATGTAAAGCAATTTAGTATTTTAATTTGCATTTTCTTCCTTGAATTCTTCTTATAAGAGTGCTGTTGGAATGCTTGCATATAATTATTTTTTACTTTTGTACTGCTGTCTTAGCAAAAAGTATCTTCCCAATATGCTAAATTTGTATTAAAATACAATAAAAATATAGTCTGTGGTGATTATTCGGAATTTCTTTAATGTTAAGATAAAATATTTTTATGTTGGTTTTTAGCTTTAGTATACCTTAAAAACATGTTTTTAAGATTAAATTATAATTTGCTGATTTTAGGTACGCTTGCAAACAATGCCAAAGCCAGCAATGGGAGAGCTTCCAATGTATTCTGGAACATTTGACTGTGCAAAGAAGACTATTATAAAAGAGGTAATATCAAATGACTTTAAAGAAGAGGTTTTTCTCCCTTCTCTGTTCTGGAAATGAAAGTTGTTATGTAATGCATTGCATTTTTAGTATAATATATTGAGTTATTTTAAATTTATTTAATTGTTTATATATGGAATTTAATTTTTAACTGTTAGCAAGAAATGCAAATTTCTTTTTAAAACGATTCTGTGATGCTAAAATTAAACAAAATAATATGACAAAATAAATAAAATAAGTATAATTCCTTTTCCTTTCATATCATAAAACATCAAGTATCTAAGAGTGATAAGACAACTTTTTGTAGCCCAAATATGGGCATTAACCCAGAAGGGTTATTAGTCTTGAAATGGCATTTTGCATTGAATGGCTGTATCACTTTTCATTGTTGCCATTAAGTATTATTGTCCTGTATTATATTTAAATAAACTAACTAATGAAGAATCCATATGAATATATGTATGTTTCTCGCATTGTGAAGAAACAGCGGTACCTAGAGTCATCAAATTTTGAATAACATAGTCCTGCACCTGAGCAAACTTGGAAGCCCAAGTTTGGAATTTGTTTTATTGTCATTTTCATATTTTGTAAAACTTTAATGAATTTTTGATTTAAAAACTCAGCAATTTCAAAGCGAGCAGTGGGAACCTTGTAGGGAAATAAAACATCTTTATCTCAAGTGCTCGAGACTATCTGTTGAAAAAATTTCAGAAATTCTAAAGATATACTATTTTTAAATATTTTTAACACAATGTGGCATTAGCTTAAATACTCTCGAAATGTGTATGTCTCTGTAAATGAAAAAAATGCCCATTTGGGCATAATATGAAATCTGAAAGCTTTCAGATTTTATTTATTTATTCATTTTGTATAAATAATTTTTATAACCTCCATTGTGACATGACAGTTTTTATCTGGTAGTGAGATTTTTTTTTTTTTTAGTTATTATTTAGTATATATTAGCTTAAAATTAAAAATAATTTGATTTCTTACTTTCTTATAATGTAAATATCTTAAATGAATGGAAATTTATGAAAACAGAAACAAAAATCAGTATCTCTACAAATTTAGTTAATGTGTGCTGTTTAAATCCAGGTCTTCATTACCGGATTCAAAAAGCTGTGCCACTCAGAGAGATAAGGGAGAGTGTTTAATTCCTCCAGCTGAACTTTGAAGTGACAAAATTAAGAGTGATCAGCATCTGTAACTTTTTAATTAAGTAAAATTCAGCTTTGAAATGGGATTGATTTTAGAGTAAGCCTCTGGGAAATGCAAAATAATTTTATGTAGATTTTTTTATAAAGGCTGTTTGCACATTTTTTAGATGATTTTCATTGTATTTAAAGAAATATTTTACCTCTAATTTTTCTGTTTTAAATGTTTTAGTTGATAAGGCTTATTCTTCACTGTCTTTCTATACCGTAATTTCCCAGACAATAAAGCCTTTTGTAGTATCGGAAGAGGAATTTTATCCCATTGCTCTCCAACAGCTTTCCAAAGTCTAAGGAGATTGTAGGTCAACATTTGAACAATCTGCTTTTTTAAAAGTCCAAGTGTAAAAATCCGTGGGTGATGATACATCAGGAGATTTAGTAGGGATATGACTGGAGGGTATGGCCTTGGTACCCATTTCCTGTTAATTTTTCCAGGAAATCAAGGGTGGATTTTGATGTGTAGCTACTTGATTTGTTTTGATTCAATTCTACTGTGTGATGGTATTGTGGTAAAGAGAAAGTATTTCATATTTGAAAATTGGGTATGAAATATGTTCCTGACAATACGTGGATTCGATCTTAACATTCTGTACTCTCATTATTTTTAATTTGTATTTATATGAAAAATTAGCAACAATCATAAATCCCTTTGAAAAACTTTCTTTAAAATCTTTGAATCATGCTCTAAGATTTTCTTTTTCCTCTTAAATGTTAGTAAACAGATCTGTTTACACCCAAGGTTTATCTATTGTGACACACTTTTCCATTTTCGTCCACATAAATATTTCTCATAAAGAATTCTGCAAAGCCTTCTGCGTTTGGTGATATGCTGTGAAGAAAGACTATGCATATTATGTTTTTTCACCTTTTTAAGATTTAAAGCATCATCAGTTACTTTGTTTACAGTTCACACTGAGCATTTTAATGATTTTGCATCTGTACTTTGACTTGGCTAATTTTCTTTTAATGTTAAAGATCTTACTATTGCAACATTTGAAACGTTCCTTTTTTCCCTTGGATATGTATTTGGAACAAATTTTCTACTTGAAGCCATTTTTGCTTCCTAGTTGGCAATATTTCCTGTGTTAACTTTAGATATAAAAAAACCATGGCTTTCACATTTTTTTTAATAACTAGATATAATAATTTTCTTCTATCTAATCTATCTTATTTTATCTATTTCTAATCTTTTTTTAATAACTAGATACAGTACAAAGTCCATAATCTGGACTCGTAGAGACTTCGGCGAGTCCGGGTTAGGGTTTTTCCGGATTATACATCATCAATTTAAATCTGGTAAGATGGCAGGCAGAAATTATACAATTAAAAATATGAAACCGTAATTTATGAATTAAAGAGCAATTGTGATCTAAAGGTATCAAATTTTACAAAAAAAGCTTAATATTTATTTGTTTACTTTATTAAACATTTCTTTCAACACGCGCATGCATAGAGCATACATTACGTGCACATTCTTTATGCGCATGCATAAAGCATACAAAAAAAAAAAGTTCGTGTCCTTTGAGATCTGGATTATAGATCGTTTCGGATAATGGATGTCCGGATTACGGACTTTGTACCGTATAATAATGAATTTTTTTTAAAATAATTTTCTTCGGAAAGAGCACAAATATAACTTTCCATCCATTGCTTCATTAAAAGTGCCATTTTGTGTGAAAACAAAACTGTAAAGTAGCAGATGCTAATTTATACTTTCAAAAATATAGTTGCAATTAAAGCAAAAATTTCCGAGCTTGTGACTTTTTTTTATAACAAAGCGAAATCATCTAAAAAAGTGCGAACTTCAAAAATCTGTAGTTAAATCTCTCTTATCATTTCAATCAATTTTGCATGAAGTACAAAACAAATTGACAAGTATAGTACCATGTTTTGGGGCAGTTACTCAGAAATCTGCCATTGAACAAAAATTTTGGGCCTAAAATAAAAAATTGTTTGGTACTGTTCTGCTATCAGGACCAGATTCAGAAATGGATGAATATATGCACGTGTGTATGTATGTATGTGCATATATGTGCATATGTATACATACATATTCATTCATGCTTACATATATACGTGCATGCATGAACACATACAAGTGTCTCGCAAAAGTGTTTGTACAATTATGATTTTCATTGAAATAGGGCTCTATCCATTAATTAAAAGTAAACTTTCTGAATGAGATTTTAATAATAAGATCTATAATCTATTCCTAACAAAATTACATGAAATATTTTAAAATATAGCAAACTTTATTTTAAGAAATACTAATAAAAAATGACAAACATTTTATCTCGCAAAGTCTTCGTACACTTAAAAAAAATCTTGACATATTAGAAAATATTTTCATTTTTCGTTAAATTAATATTTAGTAGGATATCCTTTAGCATCCACAACAGCTTTTAAACATCTGAAAATAGAAATTACTATTTTTTTTTTTTTTTTTTTTTTTTGTGATTTCTGTATCAGTGTTCACCCATTCTTCCATCATGACTGTTTTGAGTTCGCTTTTCGTTTTGATGTCGTGTTTTCGTACTTTAACCCCCAGTTCTTTTCAAATGTGCTCTATGGTGTTTAAATCTGGCGACTGAGGAGGTGTTTTCAAAACCTGTGGACAATTATAGAGACACCACAGGTGAACTTTGAGAGCCATATGCTTAGGATAGTTATCATGATTAAAAATAAAGTTGTTTCTTCTATCCAAATTTTGGGCTGATAATTTTAAATTGTCTCTTAAAATTAAAGAGAATGATTCATTATGCCATCAATAAATATCAAATCACCTAGTTCTGATGCTACCATGCACCTCCACACAAGAACACCTCCACCCCCATGCTTAACTGTTCCAACTAAGTTCTTAGAATGAAGTTCCTCATTTTTTCTTCTCTATAATAGTTATTCGACCATTGAAACCAGGAATGTTAAATTTTCTTTCGTCAGCAAATAGGACATTATTTCAGTACGTTTCGGATGTATTTATCATTGATTTTGTGAATGAAAGCCTAAGCTTTCTGTTTTTCTCACTAACAAAAATTTTTTTACGGGCAGAACGCCCATGTAATCCAGCTTCTCTGAGAACTCGTTGAACAGTTTCAGGTGAAATTGAAGTAGAAAACTTTGCATTAAATTCTGCAGAAACTTTTACAGCACTCAAATGTGGGTTTTTTGCAAATTTTCTAATAATAAATCTCTCATCAAGTTTAGTTAACTTTCTCGGTCGACCTTTGCTTACCTTGTTTTCAATTCGATTTTCTTCTTTAAAGCGTTTTACCACATACTGCGCTGTAAATGGGATAAATTAACTAATTTAGCGATATTTCAAATTGATTTACTACTACTATGGTAAAAAATTATCAATTTTCGAATGCTGTTTGTAATTTCTTTAAGACTACGACCCATTTTTCAGTAATAAATAGAGTATTATGATGTAAAGAATAAAAAATTAAAGCAATCGATTTTTTAAATGAGGCCACAATGCAAAAATTTAAAAAAAGCGACAAACGATAATTCTAATTTTGATTTTATCCAAAAATATTTCAGTATAACGAAGACTTTTGTGAGATAAAATGTTTGTCATTTTTATATTATTAATTTCTTAAAAATAAAGTTTTGCTATATTTTAAAAATATTTCCTGTAATTTGTTAGGAATAGATTATAGATCTTATTATTAAAATCTCATTCAGAAAGTTTACTTTTAATTAATGGATAGAGCCCTATTTCAATGAAAATCATAAGTGTACAAACACTTTTGGGAGCCACTGTACATGCATTCTGGATTCAGTCCTGATAACAGAACAGTACCAATTCTTCATTAGTGCTGTTAAAAATTTTTGCTTCTACATTTAAGAATTTAATTTTCCAATGATTTGATTGTTTTAATGTAGAAAAATTGTGATAGTGTTACAACTGTCCATTTATTTAAGGTAATAAATGACAAACAGAATTCTGTTCCAACACAGGATCACCACTAGACTCCAAGTTGGATGTTCTCTGTACCTATCTGGACCGGCTATCATTTATTGTCAGTTAAATATAAACTTTTTTTTTAAACCATGAAACATTGCCTTTTGTCTCGAAACATGCAGCTAAATTGTCACTTCCACAATTATTTGTTCACCAGTGACTTGCCAGAATAAAACTCTTGGAACACTTTTCTAGGTGAGAGTGAGAGAGCAAGTAGAAAAGTGTTAATTATTTTGGGAGGTCTGACATTCAACTATGAACTCTGGTATCACTGTAAGCATTAATATTCATCCCTGGCAGATTTCATGAGAAACTTTTCTCTCATGAATATGTCTCACAAGTTGAGAATACTATCTCAAGTGCCATTCTTTAGGTGAATTAAAGAATGCTGTTTCTGCAGAATGAATGAGTTGGACATAACTGTTACTATGAATAACAAATTTTTTAAATGTGAAATTTTCTTGAATTGTTGAGACTTTTTGAAGGGCTTTTTAATTCCTGTGGATCTTTTTTAAAGTATTTTGAGACTCCTGTAATTATTAGAGTACACTGTGGTGGTGGTGGGGAAAAGGGCAGTTCTATATCTCCTGTTCTTCTTGGACGATTGATGAAATTCAACTTATGTTTTTCAAATCTCAGAAGCACAACTTAGGATATGTATTAGATTTATATATAGCATTGTTCTAATATAGGTATGTATTTTGGCACAAAATCAATTTTTTTCTGAAATGACATGCCGATTTTTTTTCCATATTTCGATTCTACGACTCAAATTAAGCCAGACTGCCAAGTTTTGTAAAAATTGCACGCGTAGTTTTTTAAAAATTAGCTGTGAAAGTTTTAGCTCTTCAATGTTAATTTGATATATATTTATTAATATCTCTATTTAATTAAACTTACTTGATTCCTTCTTGCAGAATTCAAAACTTAGGCTTAATATAGTCGCATATTTTTTATGCTTTATTTTTAAAATTGTGTTTTAAAAATATTTCTTATAAATTTTTTGAAACGATTTTCATATTATAAACCTATAAAATTTTTAACATCATCTTGAAGTAGATTTTTCTAGGCACACCTGCAAAAAATTAGAGTATATATTAAAAATTTTCTAAGATATACATGAATTTACATATTACCACATTTTGAAATTTGGTATATATGTTATAAGCGATCATAACGCCAAGTGGGGTTTACGCACTTTTTAAAAATTATTTGAAAATCGAAATATGGAAAAAAATTGCCATGTCATTTCAGAAAAAGTCCTATTTTGTGTCAAAATACCTTTATTAGAACAATGCTAGATATAAATCTAATACATATCCTAAGTCACGCTTTTGAGACATGAAAAATGCAATTTGAATTTTGTCAATATCAGCCCACTAGAATGGGAGATATAGAACTGTCCCCCTTTTTTTTGCGCAGAGTACATGTAGCAGACATATTATGAAGGTATATGATTTTTGACATGCTATCGAATCTTTACTCAGTTAGTAATAGTGGCCAGCTTTAAATTTTTTTTTTCTGAAGAGGTGGAGTGCCCTATACAGGACTTTTTAAGAGATCCACATTACAAATCAAAAAAAAAAAAAAAAAAAAAAAAAAAAAAAAAAAAAAAAAAAAAAAAAAAAAAAAGAAAAAAAAAAAAAAAAAAAAAAAAAAAAAAACCATGAAAACGCCCATATACGGCCCATTTGCCGAGACTCAAACCTTGGGCCGAACTACCAATGTTCAGTGACTTTTACTAGTTGGCCATTGGCAGCTTGTTTTTCGTTCATATTATTTTCAAAGTTTTAAAACAAATGAATCTTAAGCAAGAGTAGTACAAAAATACAGAAAATGAGTTGCGTAGCATATTGTATGTACTAATAATTTTGTATGATTAGTGTTGATTTCATTTTTAAACTTTACATATAATATCACATATATCTTTGCCGTAGTATCTTAAGTTAAAGTCTCATTTAGCACTATAAAGTAGTAATAATGCCTTAGCATTTTGGCATGAATAATAATTTTATGTATTTTTGTAATAAATTATGAAATTTTCTTTTTAACTATTTTAGGGTTTCTTTGGTCTTTATAAAGGTATGGCAGCTCCAATCACTGGTGTGACTCCCATGTTTGCAGTCTGCTTTTTTGGCTTTGGTGTAGGGAAAAGGCTTCAACAAAAGCACCCAGAAGAACAACTATCGTAAGCACTAAACATCTTTTTCTTTTACTAAACATTTTATTAATTATTTATTTTTTCTCTTCCTTAAAATTGCCTTTGAACTTAAGCAAATTTGAGAAGTACTTGAATTTTTCCTGTGTGGAATCGAAAATAAACTTGGAAAAATAAATAAAATAAAATAAAATAAAATTAAGTCTTTTCTACAGTTATTAGAACTTTTCATGTTTTTTTTTTAAATTTAACTGAGTAAAATACTTCAGCTTTCCCCCCCCCAAAAGAATGTTTTCCCTTTGTATTAAGCAATAGAGGCATAAAACATAATTATATGTTAAGCTGTGTGTGCTTTAACACAGAAATGGAATTATTAACGGAAAATTATTTTTAGTACTCATGATATAAAAGATTTTTTTATTAATTTGATGTCTTTTGGTGTAGCGAATATAGTGTCAAAGATTTACGAATAAAATTAGTTTTTCAGATTAAATTAATCTGCATATAATCATGCATATAAGTAATGATTTTTAGTAGTTTATTTAAGTATGCCATGTATATCAGAATATAAACCAGTTTTTACAGTTGAATCAACAAGAAGAAACATTAAATTAAAAAGTGTACTGGAGTGATGTATTTTCTAGTAATGTATGTATTTACTTTAAATTGCTTTAAATATATATTTATCATCTCTTCTTTTAATGCTAAGATATCATACTTTTCAGCTGAATACTGTTTATCTAAATTCAGTAGTCATATTTATTGTTCAGTGATAAAAGCTTAAAATATAGTGTTGTCTTTATCTTTTTGATTTACTTTTTGATGTGCTAAATCTAGTAATTTGATTGCTGCCAGATAAATTGGAAATAAAAAATTAGTCATAAAGTTAAGTCTTAAAAATGTAATATGCAAATAAAGTCTTTTACTGTTATTGATCTATAAAAAAACAAGTTATTTCCTGATTGACAAACCTTTCTGATATATGCTTTATAACTTTCATAAGAGAAACAGTGCAGTTAAAAGTCAATAAGTAACAATAATAAAATCTGTCTAGCACAAAAATGTGAGTATAAAAGTGATTATTTAGACTGGAGTGTATAATGAAAATAGCTAGTATATAAAATTCCTACTAACAAAAAATCTTACTGCGATATGAAAAAAGAAATAATAATACTAAAATAAGTTATATAGCAGGGGTGGCCAAGCTCTTTGGTAGTCCGAACCATATTTCAAAATTTGAAATTTTTCGTGAGCTGCAATTAAATATGTATTTAAAAAAGTATGCAAAAAGGTATTAAATTTTTTTTATATAAATTATATTATTGAAAAACATAAATAAAAGTACAAAATGTGTGTATTGAATTTAAATATTAAAATTAAAACACATTTATTTTACGCTCTTGATAATCTTTAAATTTGGTAAATAATTTGGTGACAGCACTTCTCAATAATTCTTTGAGATCTGGTTAGTTAATATGATTGTGTTTGGATTTTTAAAGTGAAATAAAAATGATTCACATAGTACATTGTTTCCGAATATTGAAATAAATCGAACAAGCAGCCTTTTTTAATTCAGGTAACTCGATTTGGTACAAATTTCCAAAATTCAGTAATCGGTTTGTCGACTTATATTTTAATTGTAGAGTTTGATCTTCTTGCATCTCTGTTAATTTTAATTTTCCATATGCTTTTTGGGTCATAATTATATTGGAAATGGAAAACTCACCTTGAATTATGTTGATTTCAAATGAATTCAGAAAAAAATCAAGAGACGATTTAAAATAGTTCAAGTCTTGAAAGCTATTTTGGAATTCTGTCAATATGCCTTCTAGCTTTTTTATATACTCATTGAATTTTTCTTGTATAATATTGGAAAAAATTTTTATAGTTCGAGGAAAATGACAAAATGTTTTATTTTTAATGTCCTTTTGAAAAAGCTGTAATTTGGTTTGAAAACTAAATATGCACTGTGAGAGGTTCAGTATTATTTTATCTTTTCCCTGCAATTGTAAATTCAGTGTCTGCAAATATTTTGTAATGAGATGCTCTTGGTGAATTATGCGGTAAATCGGTATGAATTGTGGAATTTGAGAATCATCTCTTAAAAGCCTAATAAGACCGATTTTTTTTAAACCCAGCATTGCCACAGCTCCATCAGTTGCAATGCTTACAAGTTTATTAAGAGGCACATCAAAAGTTTTCATTATGGAATCTAATGCATTTTTAATATTGACATCGCTGGATGACTCTTAAAGTTTTACTAAATCTAATAATTCTTCTTTAACAATGAAGTTAGGTGAAACAAAACGTATGAAAACTGCCAATTGCAGAAAATGTGTGATATTTGTCGATTCGCCAAGGACTAAACTGAATACAATGCAGTTCTTCAAATTGTTTTTAAAATTATATTCAAGAGATGTATTAATTGCAGTTATGCGTCGCTGAGTTGTGTGTCTCGAGATGGGACTTTGTAAAACCACTTTGTGCAATGCTGCATTATTTGGATCTAAAACTTTAAGTACATCTTCTAAGTTTTTTTTTTTTGTAATAAACTCTCCCTCTCCATATGGGCGTTTTGCATGAGCAATATTCCAGGCAGTAACAAAACTTGCTTCAGCCACATTATTAACTTGATTGCTAAAGGTCATCAAAATTGACTGTTGTTTATTTAAATTTCATTTTAAAGAAGCAAGTTTATCTGATCTTAAATTGGAATTTGGTGGATACTGATTAGAGAACTGAGGATGATTGGTTTCATAATGTCGACGTAAATTGCTAGCTTTATAATTTTTGACCATAGAATTATATATAACACGTAATGCTTTTCCATTATTGTCAATAAAAAAGAAATACCCCTCCGACTCATTATTAAAACTTCTCTTTTATTGCTCGTAATTTCTTTTTTTATTTTCATTCTCTGTCATCGTATTTTTAAAAGAACGGGAAATAAATGAAAAAATTTAGAAAATACAAGTTTTGTGTTATTAAAATAATAACAACACATGTTACACAGTACTACGAAACAAATTATAGTTAACTTACCAAAAATTCCAGATTATAAATTATATCCATAACAAGAGTGATACAAACTGTTTTCTCCAGAGCACAATGTCAACTGTCCGTTGCAATGGAAGTTTACAAATTCAAAATCAGTCTGGAGTCCGTCAATTACGTAGATCGTAGATTGTCGTTCGTCGAGCAGCAATCGACCGGACAAGGCCTTATAAGGCTCCCATATGTTTCTTATAATTCACAAGCCAGTCGAAGAGGGTAGATAATCCGGTGAATGGGAACTCTTACGCCACTGTTTATGTTCGTTCGTGCAGTTTTCGATGAGTCATATCTTTCTTAACTTGGACGGAAAAGAAATTTTTTATAACATTGCACTTAGTCTTTCATATTTGTTGTCAGTAATTTAAAAGGCATTTTGAAACACATACGGAATGATAATTTTTGAAAATATAATAATACAAAAATGAAAGGGGAATTCGGGTATATTTATCGAGAGCCATAAATAATCATTCAAAGAGCTGCATGTGGCTCGTGAGCCGCAGGTTGGCCACCCCTGGTATAGAGGAACGATAAAGCTTAAACGTAATTTTTTATTTCTGCTGTGCATAGTAATAGTACCCTAACTGCTTTTTGCCTTGTCTGTTATTTCGGTTCGTTTAAGCAATGAAAATTCACCAGATATGGTACAGAATAATTTGTTTTTCGAAGAAAAGGGAGGCTTGGGGGAAATTCTTTAAAAACATGCAAATTTTTTCTGTAGACTTATGTCATGCAAATTTTTTCTGTAGACTTGTGCCTTTTAAATTACTGACAACAAATATGAAAGACTAAGTGCACATCAACCTAAGGTTAAACCTTATCTAATTTTAAAGTTAGCATCTCTCATGGCTCTAGTAAATAATGCTTAAAAAGTCTTTCAATCGGCATTAGTTAAAAGTATCCATGTGATTTTTTTATTATGTAAATTCTCTATGTGGAACATTTAACAGATTGTTCAGGTATATAAATTCATTTACTTATTTGGATATTCTCTGGAACATCTGTAAATAAATGCATCATTATCACTGTATGTAGTCAGAGTTCCTAATGGTATATTAGAGAAAGCTTTGTATGTGTAGATCATTTTATGTGCTCATAGTGTTTATGTTACCTGCTTTCTGCTGTACAGTTAGGAAAACTAAAAATTATGTTAAAAAATATTCAGATACCAATTCATATATTTTGTATTTAAAATGATTCATAGCAAAAATTAGTAACTTTAGTGCAATATAAGTTTACATTAAAAAAAGTTTTTTTTTCTGTGAGTTCTGAAAGTTTAGAAGCTTGGGTATCTATAAATATTGATTTGTCAGCTCTTTGTTTCACATTCAGGCATATATTAGCCAATGAACACAAAGCAAAATGGAGCTTGTTATTTTGTTTGTCTTACTGCTAAGCGATGTGAGTTTCTTATGCTTTCAAGATATATTTTAAGAAATTGTGATCTTTTATTCTAGTTATGGTGGCAAAAAATTTAAAATAGTCAAATTTAAAATTGTCCTTTCAAAAATCACACACAGATCCTTCTATTATTTTGTCAAGGAAATGTAATACATTTGGGATGTTCTACGTGTGTCATTGTGATTTTACAATTTCACACAGTGGAAGAGCTTATGTTCTTAAACATGTGCAAAAACACAAGTACAATGCCAGTTGTATATTAAAAAAAAATTCTGTGGAAACAAAGAACCAAAGACGTGGAATGCTTGTTCTTGGCATTTTTACCGAGGTACAACTTGCCACTGAATACATCTGATCATGCTATAGCTGTATTTAGGAAAATGTTTCCCTAAAGTGAAATCACTAAGAATATTCAAGTGCAAGGGAGGGGGAAGGTCTGCAATTGTTAAGAAGTGGGTATAAAAAATAAATCTTCAGTTACTGATTCCATTAATACAGTTCCACTCTACCTGTCTATGGATGGAGGCACAGGGTTTGTACAGTCCTTAAGAGTCCTTAGATTTTTTGGAATCGATTTTTGGTCCTTAAAAGTTCTTAATTTTGACCAAAATCAGCAGAAGGTCCTTAATTTTAATCATCTGAAATTTCTGTTTGTTTTTATGACTGAAACATAAGCATTTCAAAATTCATTTTTCTAATAAAGAGCTCTTAAACAACGTTTAGCTTTTGGGGATGTGAATTCTTTTATTAAACGGTTATAAATTTTGGCGACTTATCAACATTTTGGCGATTTTAAGATCAGTTTCTATAGAAATTTTTAATTCCGAGATCTGAGAATTTTTCGACAATTTTTTTTTTAAACGTCGTAACATTGATAAATGAAATTATATTTAAAAAATAACATTAAAATAAAACATTTTCATTTTTCGCTGTCATATAATAAAGTTTCATTTTGGCAACTTATTATACAATATTTTGAATTTGAAAATAAACAAGGTGTAATGCTATAAAGCAAATTAGCTATGTAATTAATTAAAATTATCTTCTTAATTTTTTCATAGTAAGAGTTTTTCGCATGTAATTATGTCAGAATATGCTTCAGTTTTCTCTATAAAATTAATTTTACAGTTTTTCTCTCTCCCCTTTTTTTTTCCAAAACATTTCTGGTTTTTTGCTGTTACAGAATTGGGTGGAATAATTTTTCTATTTTTGCTATTTACTAAACCTCTAGACTGACCAAACATGTGACAAAATGAAAAAAAAAAAAAAAAAAAAAAAAAAAAAATTACATAAAGCTAACTTTAGTAAAATGTAAATGTCACTTATCTCTTTTCAAATATGTCCAACTATTATACGTGTAAAATATTTAATGCTACTTAATAAATTACATAAAGTTTATTTTATTCTCAAACTTATTAATAATTATGTTAATTCATGTTTAGTAATAATGCATACTACTTAGGGATCTATTTTATTTTTAGGATGGTATTACAAAAGTGAAATTCAGGTGATAAATTTAAAAAAAAAGGGGGGATCATTATGATTAGATTGTTATGATTACAGATATCAGTTGTGAATAATATACAGGAATACTAGGTTATTCAAAATTATATATGGTATTTTAACCCTTTCGGGACTAATGGGACAGTACATCCCAAGGCAGATTTCATTTTTATTAGTGGTCACAGTCATCCCGTATTTACGTGTATAAACCACCAGTTTGGTCTTTTCAATGACCAAAGTTATATAGCTGGGTGTTGTTTATGAATAAATTGAGATAATGGACGAATGAGACAATATCTCCCCCCCAAAAAAGTTTAAAAAATATGAAAAAGTTACAAACATCTTAAAAAAGCTTCTACTTAAAAATACAAAGGAATATATTAAATTAGAGTCTGAAAAAAATCTGGAAAGGGTTAAAATACTAGAATAAAGTAATTCTAAGCAGGTTTAAAAGAAGGGACAGCTGAAATATTTTTATTTTATGATATAAGTATTTGATATGACTTCCAGTCATGCAGATTATGTCCAGATGATAGTCCCCACTCGCTTGAGTATGTCTGGTTAAGTTCAGAGCATTACGTATGCTTGTTCATAGGTTCTTCAAGTTGCATGGCAGTGGTGGCACATACACTTTGTCTTTCACAAAGCTCCAAAAGGAAAAGTCACATATCCAATGACTTGCTGGGCCAAGGAAACATCATTTTGTCATTTGTTTCGCTATAGCCAATCCAATGATTAGGAACCATATTGTTGAAAATTTCATGCACTTACAGCTTCCAATGTGGAGACACACGATCTTGCTGAAAGATGAAATTATTAGAGTGTTCCTGTAATTATTAGAAAAGTCAGGTCTGTAACATTGTCATTCACTGTCCCTTCCATGAAAAAAAAAAAAAAAAAAAAAAAAAAAAAAAAAAAAAAATGGCCCATAGAATTTGGTCTCCAAAATTGCACAAAACACATTCGTTTTAGCCAAATCTTGTTCATGCTTCAGTGTACATTGAGGTTTTTCTGTCCCCCAGATTTGCACATTATGTTGATTAACTTGTTCCTTGGTATGGAATGTATTCTTATCACTGAATATGAGCTGGAAAAAATTCTCATGTTCATATTTCTCATTTTCATGTTTACATTTGTTGTGCATGTTCATACAAAACTCCATTTGCTGGTCCTTGTCTCTGGGAAGTAAAATTCGATGCAGTCTGTAAATTTGAGTCATTTGCAGTCATTTTCACATGCCACACTTGCTTGCAGAAGTTCCAGTTCATAATTCACTTTGTTAGTTAATTTCTTTGGGCTGCATAAAAACATTGCTCTCATCTTTTCCACATTCTTAATAGGAGTATATAACCTCATCAGTATTGTTTTTATGCCTGGCAGCTTGCTTCTTTAAATTGGTAGTATCACTTTGAAATGCTTTTATCAGTTGTACTACCTTTTCCATATTGCCTACAAACCACACATTAGACCAAAATTATTTATTTTGAATACTGTAAGATGTAAAACACCTCTTCCCGAGATGCCATTTTTTTATTTTAGTGATTGCAGTGTAGCCACACTTTCTGTACTCTCTACAAGCTTCTGGGAAAAGAAAATATTTGAGTTTTCCTTTCTTTTAAACTTGCTCTGGTACATCTCTGTTTAAAAATGAATTTATTACAGTTTTTTAAAATACTATTCATCGTGTTGAATAACCATGTATTCCTGGAAAAGTAGGCAGATGGATGATTTGAATACTAACTATATACTTTTTTTTTTTTTTTTAAAAAAAAACAATGCCTGATGATAATTATATGTTTCTTACCTCCCTATGTCATTTGGATCTTCATTCACATCCTTTGACTGCTTCACTGGGGGGGGGGATATTACCCACTTTGAGAGTCACTGTTCTAAATAAATGAAGTCTAGCTATTGCTGGGTATTTTAAACAATATCATAATATTCAGTAAATAGTCAACATTTTAATTATTAAATTATTTTTCAAATGGGAGGTAATAATTAATTTTTCTCCAAGATTTTTATCTATATAATTTATTCTATGACAAAGTATTTTAATCATAGAAATTTGAGTGTCTTAATAGTGCTTTCATAACTATTCAATAAAATGTCTTATTTTATTAAAAAAGTTTTTAATAATAATGTTAAAGTGTTTAATAATATTTTATACTTTTGTTGTTCTGTCAGATTAATTAAACTTTTTAATGCTGGCATGCTTTCTGGTGTCTTCACAACAGCTATTATGACTCCAGGGGAGAGAATCAAGTGCCTTTTACAGGTAACTATTTTCATTAAAAACTGCATTGAAATTTCCAGAATCATAACTATATACTTTAGAGTAAAATTCATGTTATGCTTTTTGTTCTCATCTGTTCCTTAAATATTATGCTGAAGAGAATTTTTAAGCATTTTGATTTAGCAACATCATACATGAAACTGCTAAAAATAGAAATTGCTTTTATGAAACACAAATGGAAATTCCAGAAATATTAAGATAAGTAAAGAATTCTTATTTTTTAAATCAGGTTATATAAAATAAGATACCATAATTTCCGGAAAAAAGGCCGCATCAGCGTAAACGCCGCAGTCGAGAAAAATGGCGGTAAAAAAATTAAAATTACACAGAAACGCCACATTAGCGTAAACGCCGCAATAGATTAAATTGCGCGTGACATCGTCGTGGGCCGTATAGATGCAAAAACTCAACCTAAGTCCTGATATATGACATACCATCTCCCTTCGGAATAGTTTTCGTTTAAAAATTATCATCGGTTTTAGCTTGTCACCATTTGCGGCACAAGCTAACACACATGTAAATGACGTTCTTTCATGCCCCGTCGTAAACATAGATACAGTTTTTGCACCAGTTTCATCAACAGTTCTGTTTGCAGGAGAGTCGAAAGCTAACGGCGTTTCATCCATATTTATTATCTGCGACCGAAGAATTTTTTTTTTTTGCCAATAATAGCTGTCACATAGTTTAGAAAAGATGACTTTTTATACTGCCAGTCCATTGGTAATTGTTGCCCGACTGTTGTTCTAGTACACACAGAAATATTTTTTCTTTTCATAAATCTGCTACACCTCCTTTGAAATCATTTATGTTCATTCCTTTGCTATAAATTTTGCTTGTAAGCGAATTTTTACAGTCGAAATTGCCATTCCCTTTCCTCGTTGCTCCTTTATCCAGTTTGCAAGGTCATCCTCTAAATTCGGCCACCTTACAGTACCACTTCTTTTGGCTCGTTTCTGTTATGGCAGCACTATTTTTAAGAAGTTCTTTTTCAGTTCTCCAACGTCGAATACATCTGTCGTCCACTTCAAACTCTCGAGCTGCCGCTCGATTTGCAATTTGTTCAGCACGTGAAATTACATTAAGCTTAAAACCAGCAGTATAGCTTCTGTGCCGTTTAGGGACATTTTCAAAAATCTTCCGCTCCCTTCTTACTTAAAAACTATTCAATAAGTACTTGTACCCAAACTGATGGGATCTGTATCTGGCAGAATGCCAAGAAAAATCTATTCATGCTGAAGGGGAAATACGTCAGAGTTCGTTATTGCGAGGCAGGTGGAGTCGTGTCCGCCTTTGAAAAAAATTGCAGGAAAGGCAGGGGTGGGGAGAGGATGGGTCCTGGAAGATTCATCAAATGGCAGAGGAGATAGACTATTCGAACTGATGAGTATGTTGATTTGAAAGGGGGAAGAATGTTATTGTTCTGAGATCTCGTTTAGGGTGAATAAGGCATGTAAGTCCGTTCAAGGGAAAGAATGTAAACAAAATAACGTTCGCAAAAAGCAACTGAGTGTGAGTGTTCTTTTGTGTGGGAACAGCACCAGTCTATGCACAATGACAAGGCCATCCAAACTATGTACAATGACCATCATAGGAAATATTTTAATTTTAGTGCACCTAAACGCCGCATGGGTAGAAATGCCGCACCCGCTAAAAATTTAAGTTTTAAACACGTAAACGCCGCTGCGTTTCTTCCGGAAATTACGGTACTTATGTATTTTTCAATCAACTATGAAAATTTACTTTTGTTGACTGTAAAAGTTGACGGAGATCTTGAAAAACTTGTGGCAAACATTCTGGCAAACTTTTGGTGAACAGATAGCTGTTATTTAGTTAGATGATCAACATATACAAATTATAAATAAAAACTTAAATAAATACACGTTCAAACTTTGAGATTAATACCAACTAAATGTCATCTTCTTTGTGAGTTTGCAAACTTATAATTTTTTTTTAAATATGAATTTAAGTGATGCCATGCTGTTGCATTATTTTTATTGTGTCTTTTTTGCTAAATCTTTCAGTGTATTGAGTATGCACCCCAGTATCAGGATCTACAAAATTGTATTAGTGATAACTTAAAAATGTTCATATCATGCAGCTTTAAATTTGTTAGTTTTGTAGGCCTTCCAAGAAAGCAAAATAGCTGGAGATTAAAAAAAAAAAGTGTGTTGTATACTTTCATGCTATCTTATTGAGAATTAATTGGTTTTACGCAAAACCAAAGCAAAGACCTTGTGAGTCGGTTGTGACATCATGTGTACTGTATTTCCTAGCCCACAAGACACACTTTTTTCACTTCAGAATGTGCCCTAAAACCAGCCTGCATCTTATGAGCCAAGTGTATAACTCTAAAATGCATGCTGATTTGCCTGGAAAAATATTATTAAATATTTTTTCCTGCATTAGACATAAAAAAATGGTTGCCTTCAATACAAATTTCTATAATAATATATGATAATAATTGAGTTGGTAGACAGTATTTGCTAAAAAAAATTCTCAAATAAATCGTATATGTATGTATACTATATAACATAATGTAGTTTAGTTTCCCAAGTTAGACCGTGGTCAAGGCTATTGAAAGTAGCTTAAAAAATAACTATTGTAACACTTATGTGCAGAACTGATTTCAGTTGCATCATTTCTCTCAAATGGATAAAATTATAAAAGTTGTAATTTGGTAGTTCACAATAAAAATAAATACCCTGCTTCTCACTCAGAATCACAGTGCATCAATAAAAAGATGCATTACAAATCACAACTACCTGTATCTAAAGCCGTCGAACTTTTTCTACCTTTCTACAGTCAGTACAGTCAGTCATTTTACATGAACTTACATTTGAAAATGGTAATATTCTTTTTCTATTATTACCTTTTAAAATGCAAGCAACAATTCGTAGGAGTTGCCATGTCTACATAACTCACATTTGTTTGTTTCATTATATTCAAAATAAGAGATTGGAGATTTTGGAGATTCAAAATAAGAGGGCTTTTCTGGCTAGCCAATTTCTACTGGCTCAAAATGAAAGTGTCTTGGTGATTGGTTCATTGAAATTGGAATATATCTTGCTATAAACTTAGGAGTCTACAAGCAGTCAAACTTAAGTACTAAGACTCCAGGGAAAATGCATAATACGTTCAGTTACTATGCATAATACTTTCTTTTTTTCTCTTTAATGTTCATGTGTACTTTTACATTGAAAAACTAAGTGTTACATAAAAAGTTCAAGTTAGAGTACCATTATGGGATCTAAAAAGAGAAGATTATCATAAAATATTACCTTTTAAACTTGAAGATGTGAAATACACTTCAGAGCTTGAAAATAAAGCGGTTGAAAGGTGCTTTGTTCCACCCTCAACTGAGAAGATGATATGAGAATGGAGAAAGCAGAAGATGGATTTAGTGAATGCAGATAGGTGTAAAAGAACTTTACATTCCTGTGCTCCTAAATGGCCAAATCTTGAAGAACATGTTAAGAACTGTATTATAAATCACAAGAAGATTGGGATTACCGCTTCAACAAAAATGAAGCTTTAATCTGCATCCTTTTGTTGAAATCTATGATGGAGCCTTACATGTCCAAATTTTTTTTTTCACTTTAAATATGGCTTAAAAACTTTCAAACTTCTGAACATCGTGATAAAGTAGTGAAAATTGTCTTTATAAGAATATATCCCAATTTCTAGTGATCAATAGTTTATCTGGAGAAACACAAGGGATGTCGCTGTTCTTAATATAGAAAAATTTGAAAAATCATTTCTTAATGTAGAAACACATGAAATCTCATGCTGGTGAAGCTAAACAGGTTAAAAATCTGCAATTAGGCATTGTCTGCTTCACAGTTAGCTTCACATTTTGCTATGGCTATTATGGGACAAGAAATTGTGAAAGTAGATTAGTTTCTCTAGTGGTGTTATATGAGATCTGCATGAAATATGTGAATTATGAAGAACTCTTAGAAGAATTACACGAAAGACATCTTAAGAAGAATGATAGCATACTCTAGGCCCTGTCTCAGATGGAAATCTGAAAAAGAAGTACCGGTTATCAAAATAACTAAAAAATATTTTTTGGAGAAGCTAGATGAATAGTATCCATCACTCAGTTGCAACAAAATATATCTTGTGCAGATGTCATTAAGAATACTGAATCAATAACCATGTAAAGAGACATAAGTATATAGAAAAAAGTTCCTCCTGCAAACACATAAAAAGGTTACTGCATGAAAGATAAACTAAAAAATATGAAAGTAGCACAACCAAATCTCAACAGAAATCTGTTAAAAGCCAAGAAACCAAAGGATTAACTTTATTGAAGCCGTATATTCTGAGATATATATAGAGAATAGATTGGAAGGTCCTGAGACATTTCCTTCCCTATCTAAAATGAATGAGAAAATAAGCAATGAAGAGAAAATAAGGAGTCATAATGATAACATTAATCTTTTTGAATTCTTGGGGTTTCAACAAATATCTTGTTCACATAAAAGAGCTCATCAGCATCCATCATTTTGTCTGTTTTGCTGCTCAAGAAACTATTGAAATCTGAGCAACAGCTTAAGCTTCAGAGATATTCTTCTCATAGAAAAGATACGATTTGTAATAGAAGGTATAATGCCAATGGTAATATAGGTCTCCTTACCTGGCCTAACTAACCCATCAAGTGTACTTCTTCTTTCTACATGCTTCCAAGCTGTTGCTGTATGGATATGATGGCTGATTTCAGTTGTTTTGATATAGTTGCCTCTCAATGAATGCATTGAGCAGCATAACATGGATAATCTAATAGAACAACTTACCTCCTTTATAATAATTTTAATTTGAACAGCCACAATCCTCTTTAGGAGAAATAAAGATAAAAACTTGCAAGTTAGTTAATGATCAATTGACCATTTTCTCTCTGACTTCTTAATAACTGAAAACAAAGTTAGTTCCACCAGCCTATTAGGTCATTTCATAGTATTGATATTGTTATCAGTTCACCA